CTCCTTCATTGAGGGAGGCTGGAAACAGAGAGATTGCTGCCACGTTGGCTTAGTGAGAGCCTCGACCCCAGCAGGCGTGAGGGAAAATCAAACCTGTGGTCTGAATTTGAGCTTTAAGTCACCTCCTGGCAAGTGTAAACTAGGGAGAGGACACAGCATTCAGTCTGTTCCTTAACTTCTTGCCTGGAGCACGCAGCTGTGCTGGGGAGCTGTTTGCTGTGAAACACTCTGTTAGACAGGCTTCTACTGCATTTGCCCCCAGTGCGTGTCGCAGTTTTCTGCATGAATATGAGAAGTGTAAGTGTTTAAAAGGAAGCGAAATTGGGATTGGATGGAAATTTAAGAGTGGATAAAATTATTGTGTAAGAAAAGACAAAAACTGTAAAATTCTGCCTCCCGGTTAAGGAAAGCGAAAGCTGTCCTTTGTTGGATGCCTTCTGTCCTTGTGCTTGATGTCTCTGCTTCCAGGAGTTGCCCGTGCATGCTTCTGGTGGTTGCCTCTTGGCTCAATAAAATTGTACGATAATTTCTTTCAGGTACAAAGCTCAGGGGATCAGTGCAAAGAAATCCATCGACTCCACGTTCTACCTTCTGCTAGACTTAATCACGTTTTTTGATGAGTATCACGCCGGTCACATTGACAGGGCCTTTGATGTAAGTTTAAAGAGTTCTGTTTGAAGTGCAGCCTTACTAACGCCCTTGAAAGCCCAGGATGTCTCGCAACGTCACTTAAAATAAAAACTTGCATTTAATGAGTTAGAGGTGCTGCAGTGCTGTGGGAATTTAGAAGTGTATTTCTTGTTGTTTACTGATCAGGGAGATCTTTCTGGAGGTGTTCTGTAGTCCTCGAGCAAATGATTTCTCCCACTGAGCCAAGTGTGGAGATAAGCCAATAAGTAACACTGAAATGATTCCTCTTGAATGGAATTGGCAGCGTTTCGTTAAGGCTTCAAAAGGGTGCTTTAATGGTATATAGTGCACAGAGCATTGATTACCTGCCTGTTTGTGCTTCTCCTTTTGAAGATCATCGAGCGCCTGAAGCTTGTACCTCTTAGCCAGGATTGCGTGGAGGAGAGAGTTGCTGCCTTCAGGAATTTCAGTGATGAAGTAAGTAATGCCTCTTGTTTTTTAGCTCCCAGAACCCTTCTCCCATGTTGAAAGTATCTTAAAACCTAATAATCTCATAATTCTTATTCTTGAAAGGGAAGTAGGAGGGAATTATTTTGCATTCATGCAATAGACTCTTGGCTCGCAGCTCTTTTCTCGTAATGCTGCTCTTTGGAGCACTGCAATTCATGCTCAGAAATCTTATCTCCGCTTTGCAGAAGGAGCCTGCAGATCTGACTTGTTCTGAACTTGCTGAGTTAGATTCACCTCTGTGGTACAGCACCTGGGTTCTGATGCTGATGACTGCCTCTGCTCTCCAAATCTGATTTATTGTGCATCACGCTAAATTGAGAGGAGCTCTGCTACAAACTACTTTCATCTGGGAAATGAATTGGAGAGTGCCAGGCAAATCAGCAGCAGCCTAAGAGAGAGCAACTGTGCAAAGTAAAGGCTTGCTGTCAGCTCTTTTGGTTTGCTTGTGTGTAGCAACGAGTGCAGTACTGGTGACTGTGAGCAAGACGTGCTTTCTGGGAGGCTGCAGTCCTTTGGCTGTGCAGTGTGCTGCTGGAAACCTTGGGAATTCTCTTCTCAGGGCTGCTGATGGCACCGTGGTGTTTTTTCTTATCTCAACGTTCTGTTTCCTTGATTATTTACCAGAAAACAAAGCCTTTCACCTGTACTGTTCTGAGTGCTCATTTACAGCCAGAGTGGGAGTCCATTGCTGCTTGTGGACTGCTTTTACTGGAAGGCAGCCCTTCTATTAGACAACACTTGTTTATATGTGGGTCTTTGGGATGTTCTGCTGCTGCTTCAGGTTCCATATGCACTTTTGTTTCAAACTTGAAGGCGTAGCTGTTCTGCATGTGCGTCCCAGGGCCGTGCTGCTGCCAGGGGAAGCCATTCATACACGGCCGTTGCTGGGGCGGGTGTCAGTCGTAGCTCTCTGGGTTTCCTGATGTCAGTGAGCAAAGCTAACGATTCTGTCAACCTGCTTTTTTTTTTTTTTTGCAACACATCTTTTCTTTCTCCCCCTTTGTGCAGATCAGGCACAATCTATCTGAGGTACTGCTTGCAACCATGAATATTTTATTCACCCAGTACAAGCGGATGAAAGGCACGAGTCCTGCCACTCCTGCCAGGCCCCAGCGGGTGATAGAGGACAGAGATTCGGTAAGATAATATAAGATAATATGTAACCCTCACTGTCCAGCAAGTTTTCCCAATTCCTTTTTCCCTGTCTTTCAAAGGGTTGGGCTTTAACTGGGTGTCTCTGCCTGTCTTTGCCCTCAGACAGAGGGCTTTTCCAGTTACTCACCCTGAGACAAGTCTCTTGTAACTTCACCTATGTAGAAGGAAGGGATATTGTTCTAAATGTCTTGAAAATGTGTTACAGTATACCCCCACCTCCTGGCCAGAAGAAATAAGCAGTCACCTTCCTCGAGGGCTCTGCAGTTGTTAGCAGATGTGAGCAGTGCTGTGTTTCTAGGATGGTTGGTGTTGTTGCCTTAACAGCTGGACTGCTGTCGAAAACCCAATTTCCACCTCTTTCATTTTGGCCTCTTCTTCATGCAAAAGTTATTTCTTGGGAAAGGCACTTCATTCCTCTGCTTGGCTGGCTTGCATAGAGACATGGGCAGACAGAACCATACAGCTTTTGGGCACTGTGGTGCTTGGTCTGGCTGCCTGGTTTCAGTGCTGACCAAGGTGGGTTTGACTGAACTGCCACACTTGGTGCTGAAGCTTTTCCCCCACCTGCTGGTGGGAGGCACAAAAAGGGATCGTTTATAACATCTGACGGGACGCAGACAGGTTTGTCAGCGCTCTGTTAAGCAGAAGTGTGCTCAGTGTAGCTGTTATGGGCTCTGGTCTTGTAGTTCTTACCACCTTAGAGCTGCCGCAGGTGCTTGACAACCAAGGCTGAAGCACTCAACCTGGCTTACAGGTGAGGAAATAAATCTCAGCTCCTGCTTGATGATGAGACCAGGGCCTCATCCAGCTATATTCCAGGCTTGTCATCTGTGAAAGTGCCTTTCATCTGTACATTCCAATATGAATGAAAGCAGCATTTCTCAGTGCTGCTGGTGGGAAACTCCCAGCCGTGGGGCACGGGGGAGCAGAGGGCACAGGGTTCCCTCTTTGCTTAACTCAGGGGGATGCAGGCCAGCTGCCTCTGTGAATCATAGAGTCATAGAATGGTTGAAAAAGACCATAAAGATCATCTGGTTTCAACCCCCTGCTATGTGCAGGGTCGCCAGCCACCAGAGCAGGCTGCCCAGAGCCACATCCAGCCCGGCGTCCTGTGCTCAGTGGTGTGAATGTCCAGCCAGAAGGGAACACAGAAGATAGGGTAGGAAGTAAAGCACGTTCCCTTGGTTTCTCACCCTGTGTGGGAGCAAGGAGTCTAGGTTGGCCCAGTTCCCTTGCTTGGAAAACAGCTTGGGGCTTTTGGAGTGGGAAGAAATGAGGGCACTTCCAATGTGAAGAGGAATGGCATCTCCAGAGCCCCTCTGCGAAAACATTTCCTATTCCATCCCAAGGATGAAATGTGCTGTACCTAGAAACCGTTGGGTTTGGAGTCAGAGCTGGGTTTGCATGCATTTTCTTTATTTCACAGAGAAATTGCCTAGGCTGTGTTTTGAGTCCTTTGATTATGTATATATTTACACACATGCACTAATTGGCTTTGGGAATGAGAGGGCAAAGCCTTGTCTCTCTTGGCCTGATGCGTGTTGTCAGATCTCAGGTAGGGGTTGCAGCCAGCGCAGGCTGCAGTGCTGGCACCCAGGGCGTGATGGCAGCACCATGTGCCCCACACCCTGACCCCACTGGGTGAGCAGCTCTCCAAGGGCATCGTCTGGGTGGCAGAATTAGGTCATGAAAGGAATGGAATTCGTTTATTTATAGTGATTTTAAATCACAAGTGGCTTTCACATTCATTAACTAATTACAGCCAATAGAACACTGAGACCTCCAGGCCGCTCTTAACCTCTGCAAACCTCCGTTCTTTCTTCCCCAAGTGCTGCTGCCTGCAACTCATCGTGGTGCTTTGATTTTTAAAAATAGATTGCCTCCAATATCATTGCTACCATAAAGGCAGAGAGAACTGTAATTCACGCTGCTCCTGAGCCCTGTCAGTCACAGTTAGAGGTTTTGCCTCTTAATCTTTAATTGGGAACCAGGCAACTTGCCGTGCTGTCTTCATCTGCCACTTGTTTCAATGTCCTCTGGAAGGCAGCAGGTTAGAGGTGACACGACCTCTGTGAGCAGAGGAAACAACAGCAGAGAAATGTTGGCCATCACTGAAACTAAAAGAGTGATTTCTCAGCAGCCTTGTGAATCAGGCAATCCGTTTCTGTTAAGGTTGGTAACTCGGTCCTGTAACCTGTGCTGGGTGCTTTCAGCACTTGGGCCACTTTGCAGCTCCAGGTATTCGTCCTCCCTTAACCAGACAAATGAGTCGAAGAAAAAAGGATTCCTACCTCCCCTCCATTGGGCTGTGGCATTTGTAGGTATTGAACTTCTTTGTTTTCCTGTCTTGCAGCAACTGCGATCTCAAGCTCGTGCGCTGATCACATTTGCTGGAATGATCCCTTACAGAACATCTGGAGACACGAATGCAAGACTGGTGCAGATGGAGGTCCTTATGAACTAGCAGAGAAGCTTTGGCTCAGGGCTCAGCAGCCGGGCCTGTTGGTAGTGCATCTGGGGCTGGGACCAGAGCCCTTTTGTATTCTGTATTTTCGTTGATGGAAATAAATTTCTTTGATTTCTATTTGTTTTTTGATATTTTCATTTTTGCTGTTCTTTTGTGTTTTTATGTGTTTGTTCATTTAAAAAAAAAAATAATTGGTTTATCTTTAGAAAATCATTCTCAGAGAGTAAGTATGGAGAAAAGTCGGTTCTGCAGCCCCCTGCACTGCTGTCCTGCCCTCACTCCGTGTTGCTGGGATATGAGGGCGCGTGCACTTCTGGTCACAGAGCAGGCAACAAAGCAGGGGAGCCGATTCCAACCTTTGCACGCTGCATTATTGTGGGAGACAATTAATTATTTTATTTTTATTTTTTTTCAGTATGGCTGTAAGCGTAACCTCCGCTAGGGGATGTTTGACCAACTTCCTAACTACCTTTCTACCAAAACTATTGTGGCGTGAATTTAGATGAACTTTTGGATGGGAAGCAGAGAGCCAACTTGCCATCATCCCCCCAAGGACACGTATGAGCAGCTGGGGGCTGCTGGGGGCGCTGGGGGCTGCGTGTGGCACCGGGCATTTCTGCAGCACAGTGAAGGTTGAAGCAGCTTGGAGGATGGTGACGTGGGGAGCCCTGAAGCCAGACAGGCTCAGGAGTGCGCTGTGCAGTGTGTCCTTTCTTCTGGCAGGCTGTGTGTCCTCAGGCAGCCCCTGACCTGACCAGAGGGGCAGCACTACTTGGCCCCTTCTGGAAAGGCTGCCGTGTTCCCTGCTCTGCTGTGCTGCTCGCTGACGTGCTCATTTCCAGCCTTACACCTAATGACCTTTGAGGAAGGCTGTGATGCCAGTCCCGGTGGCCCTTCCAGGCTGAGCAGCTGCTGAAGCATTCCATGCTTTGTTCTGAAGGCCAGGAAAGCCCCTCTGTGCTGTGCTGCCCCAGGAACCAGTCGCAGGGATCCAAAGGCCTGGGAGCCGTGCTGCAAGTTAAGGCCCAGCACTGCTCTGTGCAAGACACAGGTGCCGATGGGTGGGCAGGGTGCTGAGGGCAATCGGAGTCTTTAGCTACTGACTGCCCTGTGCTTTCTTCTCATGTCTGTGCAGGTGGTGACTTGCAGCACCCCATCCTCCCATGCTCCAGCTCCACATCCCAGCCCAGCTGCAGACACCTGGCTCTCCTCCCCTCACGCTGAGCTCGCTGCTGACTGCCGTACGCTGCTTTGCTGCAGATGGCACCTCGTGGTCTTCCAGGTGCCACTGTTTCTCCCCACCCCACGCCTTCCAGCTTTATGCTTAAGGACTTGTACTTCTGGAAAGAGCAGCCTGCTCCTGCTCCCTGCTGTGTCTGACCACCAGGCGTTCTGCTGCAGGGTCGGTAACCTCAGTGCCTTCCTGCCCTGACTTTGTTAGCGGGCAGCCTCCACCGTGGCTTTCTGTGGGTTTTGGGGATGTTAGAATTGATGCGTTGTTCAGAGCAGCCTATTGGAAGGCATTGCCACTGTCCATTCTGATGGGAGGAGTGCTTCCTTTCTTATGTCAGGCTTTGAGAGCAACCTCAATTTCCTACATGCAATTGCTGTGAGCAGAGTTTCCTCGTGCCCTCTCCCAAGCTGCTGTCACCCATGCCCCAGTGGGGGGCTGTGTGATGGCTGGGAGCGCAGGCTGCTCTGCTCCTGGGGGCTCTCTTCACCCTGATGGTTCCAGCTCCTTTGGGCCCATTGGTGTGAGCAGCTGCTTGGCCACCTCACAGTGGGCAGTGCTGGTGGCTGCTGATTCCCAGCCCGTTATGATGAGGATGTGACTTTGCTCCCTTTGTGTAAGGTGAATTTAGGATCATTTGCTGATTTCCTTCTGCAGGAGCTGAATACACGCCAGCAAGCACACCGCTGTCTGTCCCCAACAACCCCGGGCTTCAGCAAACCACAGCACTTTGCCTGCAAGCCTTCAGCTGTCTGTGTGCTGCAATCCGCCTTTGTGGGATGGAGGTCAGATGGGGGGACGGGGTGCAGCAAGGTGGGAGCGGTGATAACCATCTCTCTTCTCTTTGCAGGTTCCTTCCCTGCAGGTGGGGGCTCGGTCCTGCCCTGCAGTGCTCAGTCCCAGTCTCACTCTGGGCAGCAGTGCCCAGCGTGCTGGGCTGCCTCTGAGGAGGGAAACGGGGCGGTTAAAGCTTCCCTGAGGGCTGCAGGGATCTCTGCTTTGACAGGCTTTAACAGAGTCTCCCTGTGGAGTACTGAGCTGTGCTCCACAGACCGGATTAAGGTTGGTTTGACACGTTTAATGGCCACAACGGGCACAGAGCATTCCTCATCTGCCTGCAGCCCCTGCGACGCCGCGGGACGGCCGGGTATTGTTGCTGCAGCTGGTGTTGTGAATCAGGCCGACGGCAAGCGCTTCCTACTATCCGGCTATTTCACTACACCAGGGTTGCATCATACCACTTCCTTCACCCGCCTCCTGGAGCCTCCGTGCCTCTCCCGGAGCATCTTGCTGCTGCGCCTGGCCTCTGATTCCTGAGAGGCTCTGATCTGTGCCGTCTGGGACAAGTTTGTGTTTTCTGATGGGATAATGAGCTTCTAAAATAAAGCTGTGGCTTCGAGGCATCAGTGTGGTGCTGTTTGTGTTGGTGGAAGCTGATGCTCGTGTGGCAGGAATGGGTGAGGTGGGACTGAGGACGGTGTGTATGCATGTGCACAGTGTGTGGGGAGCAGAGCGAGGCCCAGAGAGCAGGTTGAAATGTTCGTGCAAGTGCAAAGGGCCACCAGAGGCAGTGGCTGGACAACCCAAATTTTCCATTAACTCGCAAAGTGAGTGGGCTGAACTTGCAATGGGCTGCAGCGTTGCCCTCCAATGTTGTTACCTGCCCTGTTAGCTGTCTTCCACGATGTTATCTGTTGCGCATTTAAGTGCATGTGTGACACTGAGCCCTGCGCGAAAGCCACCCATCCCCCTTTTTGGGGTGGGGGTCTTTTCCACCCTGGGGCTTCCAGTTCCCCTCTCCTTTGGGTTCAGCTCCCAGCGCAGCTCAGCTCCTTCAGCAGTGATGCAGCTGTGGTTTGTGGGATCTGCTGGGCAGTGCCGCAGGGAAGGGGCAGAGGAGCAGAGCGCTGAGCTCACCTCTGGCCCCCACCTGGGAACATTCAGTTCCCACCCAGATTTGTTATGGAAAACTGCCGCATTTCTCTGTAGCTCTGTCCTTGGGCCTTAATCTCAAATCCGTTATCAGTGCCGCGATCGGGCACCGGCAGCCACTGATGCTGATAACAGCAGTTTTGATACCCCCTCCGGCTATTTTTTCCCCCTGACCGGCTTGGGGTGGTTCCAGCCACTCGCATCCCCCCAGGCGCTGTGGGGCCGTGCTTGGCTCTGCAGGTATAAATCCCCGACCCCAGCACTACAACGTGGGACCCGTGCAGCCACCATGGCTGAGCTGCCATGTGCTGAGCCCCCGCCACGCTGCAGCGGCCGCTTCACCATCAGCACGCTGCTGGCTGCTGAGGAGGCGGCGGGCTGTGAGGGCACGCAGCTCTCGGGCAGCTCGCTCTGCACCAGGACCTTTGGCTACAACACGGTGGATGTGGTGCCCGCCTACGAGCACTATGCCAACAGCAGGGGGGTGGGTGAAGCCGGACGGGGGAGACCATCGCTGGCGGACCTCCACTCCATCCTCAAGGTGAGGCCTCAGTGCAGGGGCTGCTGGCCACATTTGTGCTGGTGTGGCTCTGCCCTCAGGCCCGTCTCTCCGTCCCACAGCCTGAACCTGGCCACCACCTCCGTGTGCCGTTGCCGGACCCCCAGCGCAGCAACGGCCTCCCCGACACGGAGGAGGGGGCTGGCGAGCCAAGCAGCGCCCCTGCGCCAGAACCTGTCCGCTTCGGGTGGGTGAAGGGTGTGATGGTGAGTGCCCTGCGTCCCGATGGCTATCGCAGCATCTTCACATTTTTCCCAATCGGGAAGAGAGGCGATGGCCTCATCTTGTGCCAGGGGAAGTTCAGGTGGAATTTTGGGAACAACTGCTGTTCCAAAAGAGCAGTAGGGCAGTGGCACAGCTGTGCATTCCCGTCCCTGGAGGTGCCCCAGAGCTGTGGGGATGTGGCACTGAGGGATGTGGGCAGTGGGCACGGTGGGGTGGGGTTGGACTTGGGGGTCTGAAAGGTCTTTCCCAGCCTTAAAGGTTCTGTGACCTTTGGTTTAGCATTCATGGGTTGACAGTTGGACTGGATGACCATAGAGGTACTTTCCAGTGCCTGTGATTCTGTTTTCCACAACCGGAGCTGTTCCCCATCCCTTCCTGGTGCCCTGTTGTTAGCTGGAGGCCAGCAGACCCAGCGTGGCTCTGCCTGTCCCGCAGTGCCCACCCGCCCTCACGGCTGCATTCCCGTTGCCCTGCAGATCCGCTGCATGCTGAACATCTGGGGCGTGATCCTCTACCTGCGCCTGCCCTGGATCACAGCCCAGGCAGGAATCGGTGGGTGCCTGTAGGGGATGAAGGCAGCAGGCATGGGGAGGATGCCGTGGGGCTGCCAGCGGGGCTCGGCCCGGTGCAATCCATCCTCTCCTGCAGCCCTGACGTGGCTCATCATCCTGATGTCTGTGACCGTGACCACCATCACCGGCCTGTCCATCTCTGCCATTTCTACCAACGGCAAAGTGAAGTCAGGTAGTGCTTCCCTGCCAGGTCCCTCACAGCACTCCTGGGACGACTGCACCCAAACCTTCTCCGTGGGCTTTCTGTGCCACAGGGGGCACCTACTTCCTCATTTCGAGGAGCCTGGGACCGGAGCTGGGCGGCTCCATCGGCCTCATCTTCGCCTTCGCCAACGCGGTGGCCGTGGCCATGCACACGGTGGGCTTTGCTGAAACCGTGCGGGATCTGCTGCAGGTGAGGACGTGGCTCTGCACCTCCTGTCCCCAAACCCACCTGCACCCCCCTGCCCAAGCAGAGCTCATTATCAATACCTGCTTTAACGCCACGCCGCCGATCATCAGCCGCCAGCTCCTCCAACTCGCGGACGTGGCGGCGGTTGGCTGAGGGAATTCTGTTTCCTGGTCGGTGACGGTGCCCCTTCCCCAGGAGCACGACTCCCTGATCGTGGACCCCACCAACGACATCCGCATCATCGGGGTGCTCACTGTCACCGTGCTGCTGGGCATCTCACTGGCTGGCATGGAGTGGGAGGCGAAGGTACCGCATCATCCTGCAGCAAGCCAGCCTGCAGCCTGGCCGAGCCTCCTGCCCCTCTCTGCCTCTCCAGGCCCAGATCCTCTTCTTTTTGGTCATCTTGGTGTCCTTCATAAACTACCTGGTGGGGACGGTGATCCCAGCCAGTGCTGAGAAACAAGCAAAGGGCTTCTTCAGCTACAGAGGTGGGTTCACCATGGGACCGGGCCATGGCTGAGAGTGACGATGAGAGCTGGGATTGTGTTCTGGCAGCGGTTTGCTTCCATCCAGCGCTGCAGTGTTGGAGCTGGAAGAGGTGGTGGGAGCACCAGGTGGATGGGGATGCTTCTCTGCTTCCTCCTCAGCTGACATTTTTGCCCAGAACTTCGTGCCTGACTGGCGCGGACCTGAGGGCTCCTTCTTTGGTTTGTTCTCCATTTTCTTCCCATCGGCCACTGGTATTTTGGCCGGAGCCAATATCTCCGGTGACCTGAAGGTAGGTTTTTGCCAGCCCTTCCTGAGCTGTTGCTTCTCAGGACGGGGAACTGGGGGCCCGTGAAATTCAGATGGCACAAAACCATCACTGGGGGCCCCTGGAAAGCAGCTGTGCATCTCCCTGCGACCCCCTCGGACAGGACCCTGCCGTGGCCATCCCCAAGGGCACCTTGATGGCCATCTTCTGGACCACGGTGTCCTACCTGGTGTTGTCAGCTACGATAGGTGAGTGCAGTGGGCTGAGGCCCCGTGAAGCAGGGTGGTGGGCAGCATGAGAAGCACCCGTCCTTGGAGGTGATGCAGGAGCAAAGCGTGCACGTAGCTGTGCCCCACAGGTGCCTGCGTGCTTCGGGACGCTTCGGGCAGCCTGAATGACAGCGTGGCAGTGGGCTCACCGGGCTGTGAGGGACTGGGCTGCAGCTACGGCTGGAACTTCACTGACTGCGCCCAGCAGCAGAGCTGCCGATACGGCCTCAGCAACTACTATCAGGTGTGCCTGGGGGTTCAGGCTCCGCAGGGTGTGTGGAGGGCTCCTTCTGCTTAGGTTTTCAGATGTGGCTGAATGTAACCACCTGGATGATGTTACTGGAAGCACTGAGGGCGGTGGGATGGGGTAAGGTGCAGGGTGATGTGCTGGCGGCACGGAGTGTCCTGACCACTGCGTTTTGGGGCAGAGCATGAGCATGGTGTCGGGATTCGGTCCCCTCATCACAGCAGGGATCTTTGGTGCCACCCTCTCCTCAGCGCTGGCCTGCCTTGTCTCGGCCCCCAAAGTCTTCCAGGTGAGCATTGATCCCTGTCCCTCTCCCTGTCTCTGTCCCCAGGTGACGGGACAGAACATCCCCACACCTCTCACCCCTTTCTCCCCACAGTGCCTCTGCAAGGACCAGCTCTACCCTCTCATAGGCTTCTTTGGGAAGGGCTATGGGAAGAACAGTGAGCCTATCCGTGGCTACATGCTCACCTACGTGATCGCCATTGGCTTCATCCTCATCGGTGGGTGCCTCCAGCCGGGCCTGGATGGCTTGGCTGCGGCGCACCGCTGACGCTCTGCCCTGTCCTCCTCCTGCAGCCGAGCTCAATGCCATCGCCCCCATCATCTCCAACTTCTTCCTCTGCTCCTATGCGCTCATCAACTTCAGCTGCTTCCATGCTTCCATCACCAACTCCCCAGGTGGGTGCCAGCCCCAACCCCGGCCCCATCCTGGCTGTGGGGTGAGGGGAGCCGGCGGCAGCCGCTGTCTGTGTTTGCGTGCAGGCTGGCGACCCTCCTTTCGGTATTACAGCAAGTGGTCTGCGCTCTTTGGTGCCACGGTCTCAGTGGTCATCATGTTCCTGCTGACCTGGTGGGCGGCCCTCATCGCCTTCGGCATTGTTGTCTTCCTCCTGGGCTATGTCCTCTACAAGAAACCAGGTGCGTGGTGGCTCTGGAGAGGGCCCCACATCCCCCACAGTTGTTGGCGCCCATTGCCAATCCATCCCCTCCACACAGATATCAACTGGGGCTCCTCCATGCAAGCCAGCTCCTACAACCTGGCGCTGAGCTACTCGGTAGGGCTCAGCGAGGTGGACGAGCACATCAAGAACTACAGGCAAGGAGGCTGAGATTGGAGCTGGGAGGGAGGGGAACAGAGCCGGTCCCCCACGAAGCCAAGATGGGATTGTGCCCGTGGCCACGGCCTCAGTGCTGGTGAATCACAGAGTGGGGCAGCTGCACCCCAAACCCCAGGTCCTCTGTGCCACGTGGCAAGGCCACCCTCAGATTCTGTCCTCTCCTTCCCATCAGGCCGCAGTGCCTCGTCCTGACCGGGCCGCCCAACTTCCGCCCAGCGCTGGTGGACTTCGTGGGCACCTTCACCAAGAACCTCAGCCTGATGATCTGCGGCCACGTGCTGATCGTGAGTGTGCCCACAGGGCGCCCTGCGGCTGAATTCTGCACCCTGCAGGCATCCCAAAGAAGGAAAAAAAAGTCAGGCCACATCGTGCTCCTTTGGTTCCCTATCTTGGGTAACCAGTGGTCCACAGGTGGTAGAGCACCAGTGTCATTGTCAGCAGCACCTGTCACTGGGAAACCAGTGGAGTCGAGGCTGATAAACCAAAATCTGCCGTTTTTTGGTGCAACAGCAATTCCCCATGCACGCCATGCTTAAACCCAGGTTCTGCCAACAGCTGGGGCAAGGGGAGATGGAGCTCTTTGGTGCCCATAGCACTGGGATGGGGACAGGGACAGTGGCCACCCGGCCAACGGGCCGTGCCCCCTCCCTGCTCCCCCAGGGCCCCCGCAAGCAGAAGGTGCCCGAGGCCAGGCAGGCATCGGATGGCCACACCAGGTGGCTCCTCAAGAGGAAGATCAAGGCCTTCTACACCAATGTGCTCGCTGAAGACCTGAGGAGCGGCGTCCAGATGCTGCTGCAGGTGGGGCAAGCTGACCATTGCAGGCCCTGCTTGGGGCACACAGTGCCAGCTGGGTGAATGCCTCAAGCGGGAATCTGTTGCTCCCATTGCTTTTCCTGAAGGCTGCCGGCCTGGGGAAGATGAGACCCAACATTGTTGCGCTGGGCTACAAGAGGGACTGGCAGGCAGCCGCACCGCAGAGCCTGGAGGATTACGTGGGCATCCTGCAGTACGCACTGCGTTGGCACCTGGTGGCTCCATGTGCCTCTCTGAGCCAGGCAGTGGCATCTCGCTGCTGTGTTGTCCCCACTTCATGGGGATTTTGGGGGGGAGACCACCGCCGTCAGCTGCCTCCTCCCTCCTTCCAGCGACGCCTTTGATTTCAAGCACGGTGTGTGCCTGCTGCGGCTGCGGGAAGGGCTGAGTGTTTCCCGAGTCCCACAAGCCCACAGTAAGTGCTGTGGACACGCAGTACTGGGGACCATCCTTGTGATGGGGACTGGTACCCTGAAACCAGGGCAGGACGTGTCCGTGCTCCTCTCCCTCCACAGCTAACCCTGCATTTGGGGCAGCAGAGCATCCTGATGGGAACGGCACTGGCAGCAGAGCAGCACCTGGCACAGGCATCGGTCAGTGCTCATCAGGCATGTCCAGGGCCTCCTGCAGCCTTGGGATCCACTCTGGGGAGCGGGGTTTGTGCACAGGGCACCATGGATGCAGGGGTTGAGGGTTCAGCTTGGGAAGATGGTTCTGTTTGCTACCGTAACTGCTGCGGGGTGGTGCCATGCTGATGCCTGCATTTCCCTTCACAGTAGACCCTGAGCAGCAGGCGAGCACCATCTTCCAGAGCCAGCAGGGCAAGAAAACCATCGACATTTACTGGCTCTTTGACGATGGAGGTAGGCCCTGCCTCGTGCTGCAGCGCCACGCAGCACAGGAGGATGGGGGGGCACTAAAAATGCCCTGTGGCTGCATCCTGCAGGGCTCACACTGCTCATCCCCTACCTCCTCGGCCGCAAGAAGCGATGGGGAAAATGCAAGATCCGGGTGTTTGTTGGCGGGCAGATCAACAGGATGGACGAGGAGAGGAAGGCGTACGGGCAGTGCAAAACGTGCACGGGTGTCTCGGCTCAGCAGCCGGTCGCTGAGCTCTGGGAACTGTCCCTCTCTCTGTGGCAGGATCGTGTCCCTGCTGAGCAAATTCCGCCTGGGCTTCCACGAGGTCCACGTCCTGCCTGACATCAACCAGCAGCCCCGGCCGGAGCAGTAAACAAACCCCCTGCCCACGCAGTCCTGCCTGTGCCACGGCTCTGCGCGGCACAGATCCCTGTTCTCAGTGCCACGGCTCCACTCCCTCGCAGCAGGCTGGGAGCGCGCCGTGCCCCGTCCCAGCGCGGTGTCCTTGCCTTGCAGCATCAGGAGGTTCGAGGAGCTGATCGCACCCTTCAGGCTGAACGACGGCTTCAAGGACGAGGCGGCGGTGAACGAGCTGCGGCAGGGCTGTCCCTGGAAGATCTCCGATGACGAGGCGCACAGGCACAGGGCCAAGGTAGCGCCGGGGCAGCCTGCAGGGAGCCTCCTGCTTTTAAGTCAGGAACGCGTGGTTTTGGTCTCCTAAACCTTCACCACCCGCTCCGCAGTCGCTCCGACAAGTGAGGCTCAATGAGATTCTGCTGGATTACTCGCGGGACGCGGCGCTCATCGCCATGTAGGTGTCGGCACGGCCGGTCCTGCTCCCTGTAGGGCAGGAATGGTCCCTTCGGGTTCTGGACACCCCACGGCTGTTGGGATGGGGCAGCGCTGCTGCAGCCAGGGGGAGGGCACCAAGGAAGGGGTCCGGCCCCAGGGGCGGGACGCGGTGGTTCCCTGTTTTTGGGAAGCACTGTGTGAGCTGGTGCCAGGAGGTGCTTCCTGACGCAGCCCCGTCTCGTGGCCGCAGCACGCTGCCCATCGGCAGGAAGGGCCGCTGCCCCAGCTCCCTCTACATGGCCTGGCTGGAGACGCTCTCGCAGGACCTGAGGCCCCCGGTCCTCCTGATCAGAGGGAACCAGGAGAACGTTCTCACCTTTTACTGCCAATAAAGCCTCCCGCACCCCTGCCGCATGATTTTTTTCAGACTGCGTTTGAGCGATTCCAGGGGGTTTGGGGCAGTACCAAATGTGTGGGGTTCACAGCAATGCCCAAAGGGCTGCAATGGGGCTGCGGGGCTCCAAGGCAGCAAAACCTGCCATGGCAAAAGCGAGTGTGGTTGGTTTCCAAAAGCCCCACGCTGGCATCCTTGTTGCCCCACATTCCCCCCCAGGAGAAACGTGCAACTCCATTCACCTCCATCATCACAGCGTTTACTGATTATCGCCACCAGGATTAGAAGTGTCAGTAGAAAAATAAAATGTACACAGCTCTCTATCATACAAAGGTTTGTTCATGACAGCTGCACTTGCTAAGGAGCCACAAAGCCAGGGCCGTACCCAAGCAGAGCAGCACACAGGAGGCTGGGAGGCGAATCAAGACCTGCTCAAGCAGCGACTTTCTCAGGCCAGAAGGGCTTTGTGGATGGGGCTCACAGCCCTGCCCACCAGGACACCTCAGCATTTCCATTTCCAGAAGTTGTTTACAGCTTTTGACAAGGTTACGCCGCAGTGCAGCAGGAACTGCTCTTCTCCCAGCTGTGCCCAGGGTTTATTTCCAGCCCGCTGCAACAGCTCTCAGCATTTCTGAATTCCAGCCTTCCTAAATCCTTCTGCCCCAGCAAAGCCAACAGAAACCTGCTGAAAGCTCCAGCTTGCCTCACTCCAGATGGAGATAAAGGAAACACCCTGTATCTAAACAGATCATCATTCCTGACTTTGGTTTGGGGAAGGAGGAGGAAGATGCAGAGGGAGAGGCCCAACCTCCTCCCAGCTGGTCCTCCACAAGCACAGCACGGCACACAGAAGGGCTCGTGCTCAGCACCCATCAGGCAGTCTTACAGCGGCATTTACTAACAATCTGAACCTTGCCCACCTCAGGAGAAGGATTCACATTAAACTAAAACTCACAGTTTTATTCCCTGGATTAAAATGGGTTGCATTTTAGAGCAATTTCATTAAAAACTCCTTAAAAACGACTCTCTCCACCTGCTGGCAAAAAAAAAAGACCATTCACAAGACATCTTAGCACAGTGAGAGAATTGCTTTCATGATCAGCACAGGACCTTGATTGGAGTTGTTTCAGCAGAGGGGCCGTTGTGTTTGTGGCCTTGGGAAAACTTGCTACAAAAGGTAAGCTGATCTGGAGAGCAAAGGATTTCTGTCACCACACAGGTGGGAAGCACGGCCTGGAGGCTGGACACAGATGGTGCCTTCCTCCAGTCAGCTGCTAACAGATTGCTGTGCCACCCAGCAAAATCCTCAGCATTCAGTGCCAGCTTCCCTGTGGGCCCAGAAAACAGACCAGAGAGCCCTGACTGCATAGCACACCTCTGGAAGACAGGGCAGAGCTCAGAATTAGTTAAATACCATTTAAACCAAACCAACGCATTAGGAGAGATTGTAGCATGGCCAGAAGGAGTTGGTCTGGGCTTATTTTTGCACAGCTCAGTGCTGACAGCTGGGAAGCTCTCAGGTGCCACGGGCTGAGTGTTTAAAACACAACATATGGCCTCTATGCCCCAAAAAGGCACCAGGTTCTCACCCACAGGGTCACCAAGGCAGAGTGCTGAGTTCTACATGTGCCAGCTGTGGTGTCTGAATACTTGCAAAGATGCTCAGACACACACCTACGTGAAAGGAGAGCAACATCACAGGTCTCCTTCAAAGCAAAAGCACACATTCGTGCACCCCAAGAGTTGTGCTGTGAGCAGCAGGGTGCAGCTCCTGTGCAGGAGACACAGCTTCAGAAGAGTTTCACTGCAATGAAGTTCATAAAGACTACAATCATTACTACACTGGTGATTTCCCATGCCTCAGCACTCATAATAACAATAACAATCACAGCTCTCAGCCACAATTTTGCACTTTCATCCATTTAAAATGTTTGGCTTTTTTTTTTTTTCTTTTGCTGCTCCCCAGTCTCACTACGACCATGACCTGGCATAAGGAAGATGGGGCCAGAAAAGAAAACAATAAAGGAAGATTCTCATTAAAAGAAAAAAAAAAAAAAAAAAGAATCACATTAAAAGAGCTTCGGGTTCACTGCAAAGTGAGCTCTGAACACATCACACCACCCGCAGCCACGCTCTCGCCCCCCAGCAGTTCAGTTACTCTGTTGCTACAATTTGTCACCCACCAGAGGTCAGCGAGTCTCTGCCAGAGCCCTCTGCCTATCCTCCAGGAAAACAAAGTTTCACTTGGCACTTAGCGTTACAAGAACGTAACGAAATGAACCATTTTCACCTCAATTTCTGAAGCGGACCGCAGCCCCATGAAGCGGCCAGCAAGCAGCCAGCACCAGAGCCTGGCTGCCAGCGCTCACTCAGGGCTGGTGACACAGCTTCAGCAGTGCTGAAGAACAAACCTGGATGTTATGGTTGCTGTAGGAGCAAGATAAGTTACAGAAAGCACGTTCTCCATCACATCTGTGGCACGCGGCCCTTCAGGCCAGGCTCTGCGAGGAGATTCCTGCTTATCACAGTCAGGGAGCCCTGCCACCGGCCTGAGGCAGCAGATGCCTTCATGCAGCTTTGCAGTGGGGAGGAAACGCACGCCAAGGTGCCATCTAAGCTGTGCTCCCTGGTTACTGCCTTCACAGACACCAGGCGTGCTGCAGATGCTTCGCTTCCATTTTCAATCACCAACATCTGGAGGAAAGCTACAGAGTGGCCAAAATCCGCAGGAATGAAACCACCACCACACAGAACGTCTGACCCACTCCAAAAATGAGGGCTTCAAAAGGAATCATTTTTTTCCCAGCAGCTCTGTAAACTCCAGCAATAGCTGCACCTGTGGAGGAGAGGAAAAGCAGAAATATTACTGTGTGATGGCAATGAGAGCTGTACTGCTGCGCTACGGGAATACAGGGAGGGATTTAACTGGAGGGAATGCAAGGCTCTTCGGGAGAAGGCTCTGCAGATAAGCAGGTGGAGGCAGATCCATGAGAAACCTCAGCAGAAGCAACACATGCAGATCACAACACATGACAGTATTATTAAGGTTGGAAAAAAACACTAAGAGCACCTAGTCCAACCTCCCCCAGCCTCACCATGCTCACTGACCGTGTCTCTCAGTGCCATATCTCCGTGGTTCTTGAACACCTCTGGGAACACCACCTCCCTGGGCAGCTGCACCAGTGCCTCATCACTCCCTTGGAGAAGGAATCGTTCCTAATATCCAGCCTGAACTTCATCTAGCACCACCTGAGGCCACCACCTCTCGCCCTGTCGCCGTTACCTGGGAGCAGAGGCTGACATCCCCTCCCACAGCCTCCTGTCAGGGCTGCAGAGCTCTGCCCTGAGCTCCTCTTCTCCACGCTGACCCACCCCATTCCCTCAGCCGCTCCCACAGCGCTGTGCTCAGACCCCTCACAGCTCCGCTCCCCTCCCTGGGCACACTCCAGGACCTCCACGTCTTTCCTGCACCCAGGGGCCCAGCGCTCAGCACAGCACTGAGGTGTGCCCCCAGCAGCGCCATATAGAGACACAGTCCCCTCCTGCTGCCTGCTCTGCTGCTGTCACAAGCCGGGATGTTGCTGGGCTCCACACCCACCTGGGCACGCTGCTGGCTCAGTTCAGCAGCTTTCAGCTCACACCCCCAGACGTTTTCCCTCTGTGCAGCTTTCCAGCCATTCTGCCCCAACCCTGCAGCAACGCTCGGGATGTTGTGACCAAAGTCCACAAAGCCCATCCATCCAGCCTGCGTACCCACCGGGCCAGCAGTTGGGAAAGTTCTGCCGGGGCCTCACTTCAGCCCCGCCCGAGCTGCCCTGCTCCCCAGAGCTGCCCTCCCAAATACCCCCCGGCCGCCCCTACTTGTCAGGATGCCGGCGGTGATGGGTCCCACGATGCCCATCAGCAGGAGGCTGACAGACATGAACCTGCCGTACTTGTGGTGCCGGAGGGTGAAGAGAGCGAGCAGGGCGGCGGGGACGTGGAAGGAGAGCGAGGAGACGAGGGCCCACAGGAAGACGCCGTACCACATCTCTGCGGGGAGAGCGGCGGTCAGGGCCGGCCCGGGCCCGGAGCCCTCGGAGAGAGCCCCGGGAAGGGCAGGCGGGGCTCGGGGCGGAGAGGCCGTACCTGGGAAGGTGGACAGCGGGCTGGAGTAGGTGGTGCCGTTACCGACGCGGGGCACCAGGCGGAGGCTGAGGATCTGCTGTAGCAAACCCCCACCGCCCGCCTCGCCGCCCTCCATCCCCTCGGCTGGCTGGCTGGCTGCCGGCCCGCCCCCCCCGCCGCTCCAACCAATAGCGAGCGCCGCTCGCCGACGGGCAGTTCCGCTTGCCAACCAGCAGCGGGCTGCCATAGGAACGGCCGCCGGCCGCAAAGCGTGCCGGGAGCGGTGCGGAAGCGGATAGGCGGCGGTGAGACGCTCTAGCCGGCACGCCACCTTCTCGTCGTCGCTTCCCCCTCTTTTCACGGCGCGGGCGTTGGTCCTCCCCGCTAGGGGGCGCTCCGAGCCGGCAAAGGCGACGCTCTGGTGGCGGTGGCGGCCGCGCGTGCGGGAGGCGGCGGTATGTCGGGCTGCGAGGAGGAGGCGGGGGACGGGTACAGCTCGGCGGAGGACGAGGACTACGTGCCTTCGGGTGAGCGGGCGGCGCGGGGGGATGCGGCGGGGCCGGGGCCGGCTGGAGGGCGCGGGGCTGAGCGGCTGTGCTTGCAGGTGCGGAGTACAGCGAGGAGGACGAGAGTGAGCTGCTGAGGGAGGAGGAGGAGGAGGCGGCCGGCCCAAGGCCCACCCGCAGCAAGAGTGGCTCCCGGCGGGCCGCCCGCAGGTAGGGAGCCGGCCTGAGGGAGCGGCCCGTTTCCTTGTGCTTCGTGCCTTCCAGTCGGGATTTAAGAGGCCGAGAGCCCTGGCCTGAGCTGTGCTGCGCCTGAAGCCCTCAGCGGTGGGGAGTCGGGGGAGGGAGCGCTGGGGTGATGCACCACGTTCACCTGTCAGCCCTGTGC